AACAACACCCGCACCCCCCGCCCTGCGGCAGGGGATCCAGAAATGGCCCCAGGTTTGCATTCTTTCAGCTTTTTGGCTTTTTTTTTCCCAGCTCCTTGTGCCGGGGAATAGCGGGCTCTGTTCCTGCCCCAGGAGGGCAACCAGGGACCTGCCCTGGAAAGGGTCGGTTGCCTATGAAGAACCAATTAAAAATAAATAATCAGACACAGAGATGTGCACGTTCAGTCAAAATAAGGCTGTAATGCCTGTAAGGGGCAGAGGGAGCTGTGGGAAGTGGAGGGGCTGTGCTTTATTTGCACCTCGGGGGGGTCGAGCCCTGCACCCCCGTGAGCAGGACCCCGCGGCTCAGGGGCCAAGCCGGCCAGGCTCCTGCTGCCCTCTTCTCTGGTTCCCAGTGAGAGCTGGATTCAGCCAGCATGGGACTGGTGAGAAACTGGGAAGGGTGGGATCCACCACCAGGAGTTTGCTATGGGCGTGGGAGACCTCGTGCAGAAAACCGCAGCACGTGCTTACAGCCGGCTGCTCTCCGTGGGGTGGACAGACGAGGGGAGCGTGGTTTGCTCATCGGGCTGAATTCAGGAAAATGGGAACACCTCCCGTATCGGAATTTAAAATAATAATAATAATAATCGTAATAACGAGCCCACACTCAGAGAGCTGCTGCATTGCCACAGCTGCTGAGTAACGCGGGCAGCGCTGGCATTTAAGGAGCGCGAAGGATGCCTGGCGCGCTGCGGGCTTGCGGCTCGGCATCGCAGGGCTTTCTGACTCCTGTAAAATGGGAAGATGAGGACGTAAATGGAAAACGATGCAGAAGGCCACATGGATTTAGCGAAAGTCAGCCCTGCTGGACCGACGAGGCCGCTTGCTTTGCTGGGGAAGGGGCCGGGACCTCCTCCGGCGGGGGTTAGGGCAGCCAGGGCTGCGGCCAGGGGAGCGGGTGAGAGCCTTGCAGGGGGGGAATCATAGAATCATAGAATCATCTAGGTTGGCAAAGCCCTTTAAGCTCCCCCAGCCCAAGCCTTCCCCTACCCCTGCCATCCCACCCCCAAACCCTGGCCCTCAGCA